CCTAACACAGGAATGGGGGGGTCACGAGGAGCATGAGCTCTCGAGCTTTCCTCTTTTTCAGGCCCACTCTCTCTCTCCCAAATTGGTTTGTTTTCTTTTGTGTATACGTGTTAGCGTTCTCACAGGAAAAGGCGTTTTTGTTCCACCATCTGTCTGTTTGTGAACCATATCAAGGAAATAAGTTAATGGCTCTGATTACATGGTAAGTGTATCATAATGTTTTCACTTTAGCGGATCCCGTTTTTACCCACAGCTGATTGAATCATAAATGGTTTAATAGAATACTTTCCAGCTGATTTCTGTATCGTCTGCCTTGATGGATTTCATTGGTACATCAAGACTGATGTAGGCATAAGAATGAGCAGTGGTACAGCTGCCACTCTGACATAATTTATTGGCCACAGGGTAAGATGGACTCGATTGGAAGTGGCATTTCCATCACTCCACTTAATGAGCAGCGATGTCAAGGATGCAGAAATTGGTATCATGGATGGAGGGAGGCAAAGTACTCATGCTAGGATGGGAGAAAATCAAGTTATGCTGCCAATTAACACAGAGTCACCAGCAGAAAAAATAATGACACTGAGGCAGAGTGATTGTGGAAGAGATTAATATGTATGGATACAATATTTAGTTGTCTTTTACACTCAACCTGTTGAAGCAGTTTAAACCCTGGAAGTTTTGCTTAGTTAGTTGTGAAAGTTGTGTCTGTTGTGAACATTATTGTGGACAAATTAGGTCAATGTGGTAAAGTTTTAAAATGTGTCATGCTGAAAAATGTTCCATTACAGTTGATATTATTAATTGATAATAATTTTTTATGACCTAATTTTAATAAAGATCAGGAGGAAAAAGGTTTATTTTATATTTAACCACCGTATCCTGAATTAAGCCCCTTAATCAGGATACACAGGGAGTGATTTTATGTTAACACAACAATGAAAAATGCATAAACATTAATCACTAAACATATAAATAAAGATATATAAGGATAAAGGAGTGATCTCATAGATTTTTTTTTATACGTATTTTGTTGTATCTATACTGACATGCTCAATATATAATCTGCAAGAAGCAGATGTCAGCTGATATCTTCATGTTGTGCTTCTCCTTTAATCTTGCAGTGAAAGCTGTCTCTTTTTCATAATTTTTCACACCTGGTTTTCAGTAAAGGTTCAGTTCTGTGCAGCAAAACGTACCGTCAGTCTCCAGGATTTGTTTCCTCCACATGGGTCCATATAGCTGAAGGTTTGTGATGATGATCACTACAGCTGATCCGTAAATGTGTTTGTTATGTTTCAGTCTGTATAACTTTATGTTTACAGTTCTTTATTTGTTGGAGAAAAGTGAGTGTGAACATACACTAGACTAGAACCACGCAGCAATATAATTTTTATTTTTTTTTTCATCCTAAACAACTGAACTGCATTGTAGGTGTGAGAGCAAACTGGAAGAGTGAGAGTCACTGCTGTGAAGAGGAGGAAGGATGAAGAGGCAGTAGATCTTAAACAAAGGCCAGATGTAATCTCAAGGAAACTTCTGATCTACTCTGTGTTTTTAAATATTAAATGCAGCGACAGTAAAATATCATGCAGCAGATCCCCTGTCCATCAGATTTCATCATCCTTCCATCCACACCGGCAGGAATAAAGCGTAATAAAACGAAAGGAGCAAGATAGCCTGGTGCAATCCAGCAGCTGTAGCCTGAGGCACATAAAGGCCACAGCACGCTCACATACCTCCTGTCTCCTCAAAGAGTTGACGTCACCGCCTCTCATCTTGTCATAAATCTGTCCTTCCACATCTATTTCCTGCACTCTCCGAAGGATCACAGCTGCTGCTTCTTTGTCTCCTTGTGAATGTCAAACTGACCCCTCCATCTTCTTCTTCTTCTTCGTCTTCTCCCCTCTGATGCGTTTGTTGCTGCAGTAAAACTTGTCACATCCTGGAAAGTTGAGTAATTTAACTTATGGTGAACTTGACATAAACTCTCACAGCGTTGCACAACTCTCCTCCTCCCTCCTCCTCCTCTCTGCTTTTCTCCGCTGTCCCTGTCCCAGCCTGTGAAGAAATCCAGTTTGACAGCTTTAGTGACGGCAAGCAGAGGCACATTCACAAGTGCAACACTCGGCTGTACAAACTGTTGCACTTGAATTTTCCGAGATGGACAGCAGATATTAGAGTCTCTCATGCGGCGGCACACATCCCTGCTTTTGGTTGTGACTGTAACTGTAAGAATGTATTCAGTAACGGCTGCACTGTGTCTGTAGTTGTGACCTAATTGAAGCAGAATTGAATCTCTTTGATTGGAACAAAAAAACAGCAGAGCTTTAGAGTGCTCCAATTTGCATTTCATAAAATGTAGCCTACACAGAAGATATCAATCGTTCCACCAGTAATGGAATCTTTTATATGGTCTAATTTGTGCAGCTACACTTCTCATGAGTCATAATTCTCTTTTGTGGTTGCGCTTTATCTGTGCTCTGCTCTCTCATTAAAGAATAAAATGTAAATGAACACAGCAGTAAAGGAGCATGCAGTCCTAAACGAAAAGCTGCTGCGCTTCTTCTCTTCTGTCCAGTCCGTGTAAAACTCTGCAGCGTTGTGCTCATGTACTAAATATGCAGGAATATTCTACCCACATGCTTCCTCATGCACACAATCAGCACTGTTTTTCCATTTAGCTGTGTTTGACTCAGCGGGGGTTTTTTATTCGGAAACAGCGTGCATAATTTGTAACTGACTTAACCTGTTACCAAGATTAAACAGCTCTTTTAAAAGTATTTATTATACCCAGTTGTGTTGCAGATGCAGAGTGTTTCTCCAATAAATCAGTGTCTCAGGGCAGCTACTGATAGCCTTACATAAGATTTGATAATAAAGACATTAAGTAGACAGTTTTATTTCATTACTTAGGTTGAACAACTGCTGATGCAAAAACTTTATAGCAGCACTTTCAACATTCATTTAGTATCTTTTCATGCACCCTTATCTTTAAAGGGCCTCTTTCTATCTGCACCAGTTGTGCTTCCTTTATCCATTCTCGTGATCTTGCTTCAGCTATAGACTGCTACCTTGGTTGTGAGCTAAATATGCTGTGAACTGGATTGCTGAGATGGTTCTCATACCATGAGAACTGCGGCTTTTATCACAGAAAAGGTTTTCACGGAACAGGAATAAATGAAATGACATCAGATGTTCTTTATGCCTTCATGCATATTCCCAAGAAGAGCGTTTCCCACTCGGCGGTCTCGTGAACAGTTCCTCAGCAGTTAAGATGGTCCAGCAGACCTGTGTCAAATGACCTTACCTAAAGCCTGGTGAAATAGAGCATGTAATCGCTCACTGCCTGTCGAGAAAAAACTAATAGGCAAGGTGTGTTTGTGTGTGTGTGCGTGCGCAAGTGAAGGCGCATGTTGAATGAGCACATAAATTGATTTTGTGTGTTTGTGCCACTCTCTACCAAAGAAGCCTTTTCAGATGTGCTTTTTTTGGGGTCAGTGATTTTAGAGATGTTGTTATTGTCCTAAAACTTCATGTTTTGAGAGTTATTGGGAGTCTTCTTCAGGTGCGGGTTGTAAATGTGGCTCCGCTATGTTGTGGATTTTCGAATGATTACATGGTGAGTGATTTTAAATGTTGCCATAATTTCCATCCAAGGAATGATGAGTTTTAATGCCAGTTTAGGGACTGAATATTACTGCAAATATTAAGCTCATATTTAGCCTGGTTATGCAATTTGGCCTCGTGACAGACTGACAACCTGTCAAGGGTATGAATCCAGTCTAGTGTCCAGTGTGAGCTGGGATTAAAGGGTTTTAAAATTGTGTGCAGAGATGGATATGGATTATTTTGTAATGACTTCTCACCCGGTAGTTCTGAGCCTGACAGATGCACCTCAAAATTACCTTGTGCATTAGAAATAGTATATTTACTCCCATATATTAATGTATTTCATTAGGTATGTTCTGCAATCTTGTTAGTGTCCATTACTGTTAATAATTTGGCATAATAAACCCTTTGTGAAACCTCTAAACCCTAAGTAGTTTTTGGACTTTTTTTTTTTTTGGCTCCTGTCACTGTGGGCTCCCTTTTCACTGTAATATAAAGTGCTGTACGCCTATGGAAACATCACAACGGCCAGTAGTATAGAGTATTTAAAAATTTAAAAAAAGAAAAAATCCTATGTGCAGTATAACACAGTTAAGATGTTATAAATTTTAAAAAAAATAAACCTGTTTTCATTTTTTCGTTTGTTTCCATACTGGTCCCTTGCTGCTCTGTGTGAACACAATCAGCAGTTTAGCCCAGTTTAAGTTAAAATATTTTGAATTTTTGTACCGAGACTGTTGAGTGACTAATGGCTTCACGGTTGCAACAAGAACTGCAGAAATTTTTTCTTTTTACAGAATCTAGTTGGTACAAATGATTTATTTTTTGTGTGAATTTCTTAACAGGACGTGCAGAATAAAGTGCTATTGATGAAATACCACAATTTTAAGCTTGGATTTAACAAGTTTTCCTAGACAATGTCACACACAAGTGGTTCAAAGACTGTCAGAAAGTTGAAAATCTGACAGGTCTTTCTGATTTTACAGTTTCTGGCACTGATAAATGGTGTAATTTTGGAGATTTTAAAAAAAAGAAAACACGCCTTTCTAAACTCCAGGCAAGTTTTGAGGTTTAAAATATTGATAACAAAGTTGTTGCCCTTCAGCTACCTATGTTCTCCAGTCAGTAATTCATGTAAACAGAGTATTTCCTCGTTATTATTTATACATTAATTCATTCAAGTGGCTGTGATCAACCTATCTGCCTCCTAGTAACCATCTGAAAGCTTGGTCATGTCTACAAACGGCTCACTGAACTACTCGTGTTTGTTTTGTCGTCTTATCTGGGGACAAATTGTTCCTTCGCCAAGCATTGCGGTGAACCTGCTGTATGTGTGGCTGTGAGGAGTGCTACCAGTTGGCTCACTCCATGTCCCTTCTTCTTCACAGGGGGACTCCATGAAAGATGACAGAGGAGGTGATTGTTGTAGCCAAGTGGGACTACACGGCCCAGCAGGACCAGGAACTTGACATCCGTAAAAATGAGCGTCTCTACCTCCTGGACGACTCGAAGACCTGGTGGCGAGTCCGCAACACCTCTAACCAGACGGGCTACGTGCCGTCGAACTACGTCGAGCGCAAGAACAGCCTGAAGAAAGGCTCGCTGGTGAAGAACATCAAAGACACACTGGGTAAGGAGAATTTCCCTGCACACCGCTTCGAACTACAAAGGTCGCCTGTGTTTACAAGTCGTCATTGTTAGAAGATTATTTTCAGTGAAAGCAGAAAATCTCTGCACTCTCTTTTCATTGCGCTGTGCTCCCTGCGAGATGAGATAAGATGTGGCGTTAAACAGTGGTCAAGTGTGTGTGTGCTTGCATGCGTGTTAGCCTGAATTCTCTCAAGTGAAATGATTCCCTCACTGTGTTTCTGTTCTGGCTGGGAGCTGTCACTGTGCACTCCAGGGATTCTGTAGAGTTGGCCATTGCTCTCAGCTGTCAGCACAGTGTCTCTCAGTCCCCAGTCATGACTTGAATACATTAGACTGTGTATGTAGACATAGCTATCAGCTTATAAGAGGGGATGTGGTGCATATAGTGTGTGTAAATTAAGCTATTTGTTGAAATTGCTGCTATTCCTATTAAAAATATATATATACTGGGCGATCTGTTCTCATAGCCAGCTGTAAACGGAATAAGGATTAAATAATGAAAGTTGAACTGTTTCATTTTATGTGCACAAAGTGTCATTTTTAAAGGTCTGAAGGCCTTCACCATTTAAATACACAAAAGAGAAACAGTCTTGCATTTGCGGCAAAGCTTTCCCCCCGTCACAACTGACTAGTAAAACAGGACCAACGTATAATTTTCAGAGAAATACTGAGTACACATTTAATGCACAAATAAATGAAAATAGCGTCTCCTTTGAAAATACATCAGTTAAAGCTCCAAATAGATAATAACACAACATGTCACAGACTGGAGACAGATAAATCAATTATTGGCCAAACTGTTGTCATCAAATATTGATGACACTAAAACACAACTACTAAAAAAAAAGATATAGCAAAGGCTTAAAATGATTAAAAGCAATTTGAAGATGTCACCTTGGCTCTGGGAAACAGTGAAGGGTAGCTTTCACATATGACTGATCAGTTAACCTTCTGAACTCTAGGCAGTTTCTGGACTCTTGTCAAATTTTTTCTTACGGTGGGCTCATTTTCACTGCAATATTAAGTCCTGCACCTCGAAAGGAAATGAAAAGTCACAAATGGCTTCACGGTTACAAACTAAAATGCTTTAGTTTTGACAGTTGTTCCAATGAGACATTCAGAATAAAGTGATTCTTTAATGAAATATTCCAATTTTAAATGGTCTGCACTTATATTTTTATAACTTTTATGCTAGGATGTGGGTGTTTTTCCCAGATGAAACAGGCATTGCTCATATTATTTGTTCAGGACTGTCGGAAAGTTGAAAATCTAAGAATTCTTTTGACATTTTCTTGCTATTTTAAATTATGTAATTTTGGTGACCTAAAAAAAACAAAAACAACAACAAAAACACATCCCTTGCAAATGGATAATTACACAACATGTCACAGAAATGTTACACCCTGGAGCCAGATGAATCAATGCTTTTCAGCATTGACCGAACTCTGTCTGTTGGCATCGAGTGTTGATGATAACAACACATGACTTCTAAAAAAATAAAAAATTATGCAACTGGGCTTCAAATGATTGGTCCGAATAAACCTAATTAGGCTTTGGGATACTGTGATGAATAGTTATTATAAATTTAGGTAACTGTATAAACCAAATGATCAGTTAGTTGAAAAAAAAATTAAAAGCTGGATGTTCTTTGTTTTAAACTGTATTAGTATGAGGTGTTTTTTTTTACATGTCTTTAGTTTGCAGATAATCTGAACATGCATGTACACACTCTTTTCCCATCTGTGCTTCCTGTTAGCCTAATTGTAACCAACACACTAACAGTGTTACGGTGGAGTGTACACATCAACTCGGGCATAAAACCAGAGATTACCGCGGCGTAATGTGAGAGCGTGTGATGCACAAAGCTTTCCCACATGTCCGTAAGCAGTGGCTTTAACCTTTTCCCAACACAATTATCTTGTGCGTCAGTATTTTGAGACGTTTTTATATTAACGGCACGCTCCTCGGTGCAGGTGTCTGGAGGGAACTGTTGCCTCTGAGCTTTCAACTTCTGCTTCAAAAGATATCCTGTCATATCTCCCAGGCTTCATGAAATTGGTTTAATTTATTATGACTGATAGTGAGACAAATTATCTCATAACCAGTATTTAATAATTATCTGGTGTTCCAAAACCATGTGATCTCAATTATTTTCATAATTTTTGCAATTTGAATGTGATGGCACAAAATGATTGGGGATAATGAAGCTCCTAATCAGAAATGCCACAGACATAACCCCCCCCACAACTCATCCTCACTAAATCAGATAGTATCGGCCACAGATCTGTGCCAAACTGGATGTGCTGGTATACCGCTCGAGTCAAGACAGCAGGAATTTTAAAATGATCAGCTCGCTCTTCTTTCTTGTAAAGCCGGAGGCAGAGCAGCACTGAAAGTCATCTGTTTTGACAGTTTTAGTATGCAATACCATTTTTTTTTTTGTCAAAATGGTAAAGAGAAAGATGGAGATGGGTAGAAAATAGAAACATCTGCTGGAAATTCTGAAAAGACAGAATGATCAAGAAGTGCAGCTGTAATAAAAATAGTAACTGCGTGGCCCTGAAAGGCAGCCATATTTAGAGTGGAGGGGAGGGAGGGTGGAGAATAGAAAGAGAGATGAGGGGAGTCTGGTCTAATGCGCTGATTCCTCTCACCTCCGTGGATACAAGCCCACGGGGGACAAACTCGGCAGCTTTATGTGGGCCACCATGGCACAGCCTGCCACCCTCACCCTCGCTGTGTGTGGAGACCCCCCCTCCCCTCGCTCCCCCAGTTCAATACTGTCCACATCGGCTCGTCTCTGTCACTGTTGGTCTCTGCTTTTCTATGATCAGTAGTTTGATTAGTGGAGAAATCAGCCGCCTAATGGCTGTACTAGAATGATGGATCACCTCTCTGTCCTCTGACTAAGTTACATATCGACTACAACATTATGGCCTAGTTTCGTCTCAGTCTAAGTAGCGTGCTTCCAGCCAGTAGCTCTTTAGTGTTAAAAGCCTGAGAAAATCCAATAGGCGAGAACACTTTCATGATGAGGTGATGAGCAATAGGTGAGGTCAAGGGCTAATGGAACTTACTCACACACTTGAATAGAGAATCCGATTGGCTGCGAGCACGATTACTTCATCCCCCTGTACAGCCCCGGCTCTTTCTCGCTCTTTTTCGTCTCTTCAGTTAGTCCACATTGTGATTATGAAGCATCTGGATAGTCTGTAATTACTGTTATCTCCAGCTTTTCCTCTTCATTTTCTGTGCTTTAGCGTGGTTGTATCATCGACATCCATCTTGCAGAATTGAACTATGAATCGGCTGCATGCTGCTTTGTGCCCCAGTTTCCTCTCTCAGGAAATAAAAACAGTAATGGGTGAAAGAATTCAGCAAAGGGCCCAGTCATTGCTGAAATTGGGCCAGTGCTCACCAGTGTAACTTACTGGCCAGTTAGATTCATGTCCACCTGGGTTTTTACATCACACATCTGCTGCAATCAGTGTGGGAGCGTGCGTGGGTGAATGTGAAGCACTTTGTCCTGTCCTCAGATCAAAAAGCACTATATTCCTGCAGTCCATTTTACTCTGCACGTCCTAATGAACATAGCTTAAGTGTTGAGCGAAATAGCCCCATTTCCTGCTCAAACAAGCCTCAAATGGAGCTACAAATGTGCAGCTATATAAAGCACAATATGTGGTCCACAGTAGTTCAGTCAGAAGTCTCCTAATAAGAGCTTAGATTTCTGCTAGAGCCTCCAAAATCCACTATAAAATGGTATATACAGAGCATTTCCAGTATCCAGGGTCATTTATATGGCATACATGTGGACTTACACTAGTACTATGAGTAGTTTGTGTTCAGAACTGGTGATTCTGGAGGTCTAAAGGCCTTTCAGACAGGATTGACACTGCAAGTAGAGCTGGAGAATGAAATGTGATTGCTAGTAATTTTACCACAAGATATGGCCTGTGACAGATACAGACTTTCAGCAGAACATACCAAAAACAGAGAGTAAATAATGACTAATAAAACCAGTTCTGCTCACAATGAGAATAATCCAGTTATACTTGTCTGTGGATCCATTGGTAGAATACAAATACAAGGGTTGATCAAAAAGTTCCAGGACTGTTTATGGTGCACATGCATGGAGCCCATCACAGTCACACATATGTGCAAGCAGTCACAAGTCAGGATGTTATTTTACACTATGTGAACAACAGTGGGACCTGTGTGTTTTTGTGACCAGTGATAGTTGTGCTGATAGTTTGTGATTTTTCCAAACTGGATCATTTAGAACGTCACACTGTGAGTCAGTCAACAGGCTGAGATGTGGCAAACTTTATGTAGAAGATCATCATTGATAAGGAGATGTGGGTTTATGCCTACCATCAAGAAAGAACAGAATTTTTCCACAGTGGAGGAGCCCGCAGTTTCCAAAAGCGGGCAGTGCGCGCCAGGAATATCCTTGCTGTTTTCTTTAATATTCATGTGGTGGTGCAACTAGAATTAGTCCCCCAGGACTGGACAGCCAAGGCAGGGCTTTACTGTAACATCCTGAGGTGTCTGAGGGAGAACATCCAGTACAAACAACCTGAAATGTGGTGTGATGGCATTTAGATTACTCCATTGCACAGTCACAGTGTGGGCAATAACACACAGCCACAACACTCTCATAAGATTGGGCTCACTGTGACTTCTTAATCTTCCCTAAAATGAAATTTAAGCTGAAGGGTCGCAGTTTTGACACAGTTTCAGAGATTCTGTCGCAGATAGTGCTTGTCGTGTTTGCATACTGGGACTTCCAGGGAGCATTTTAAACATTGCAGGGGCACTGGGATTGCTGTATCACTGCACAAAGAGAGTACCTCGACAGGGAAGGCAGCCAAATTTAAGTTGGATATGGCATAATTGGCACTCTAACTTGGCAAAATGTAAACAAAAAGGACTATAAAGGGAATTCCTGTGATACTCAGTTGTTGTGCATCCTATACAAGCTGCTGCTCCACAGCACTTTGGAGTATCTTTTGTATAACAATCTGAACATTCCACTTTATTTTCATGTGTCTGCTAAAGCTACTTGGCAGGTTATACTGGTTCCACACACAGTATTGCATTTAGGACCCCATGACACTTAAATTAGTAACTGTGCAACATTGCTGGGGGTTATTTAAAAGGCCACATACCTCACCTGTGATTCACTGAGAGTACTCTTAAATCGCAGCACTTGCTGACACAGTGCTAATACTTTGGAGGGCAAAGTTGTGTTTTTAGATTACTGTACACACTTGCATGCATCTGGTGGGCGGTGCAGCATTGTGTACAGTCATTTAATACAGTAACTTTTCCGGTGCCATCCACTGTAAGCTATAGAATGAAGCAATATGCTGCAACATGCAGACACTGAGGCTTTCATCAACTCACTTCCCTCTGAGTTGAAGTCCTCTGGGCTTGAAAATTGAGTCTCTTTTCACAAGATGAAGAGGTAGGTGAAGGTTGGGAGTGAATGTGTGGGAGGAGAGAATATAGCCTGCTGCTGCTCTAACCAGCAGGCCAGTGCCTTGAAGTGGAAATGAGTGAAGAAGAAAGGTGTGTGTATCAGTGTGTGCATTCAGGTGTTTTTGCTTAGCTCCAGGGAGTGTGTATTTGATGCCGTTGATTCTACAATCTACCTCGTGGCAGCGACATTTTATTTTTCCTAAAGGACCACCTGAAGACAACCTTTTGTCTTTGGCTGCAGCCAGTGGATGAAGAATACTCTGACACACACATGCAAACACCCAGCTATCAGACATGTAGGATGCACACTGCTATCCATAAAGATGATCTGCTTGTTATTCCTGTCTCATCCCTCTTTGCGTTTTTGTCAGCCGTGGCCTCTGATGTGCTTGGTCTCCTGTATGTGTGAGAAACCGCTGCCAAGGGACCCCTCGTCTTTCTTCATTCCGCTCCGTCTCTGCTCCCTCGCTCTGCCAACAAGTTTCATGCTACTCCGTGTGAACCCAGCAATTTTCAAAACAATGTAAATGCTCTGTTCAGCAGTGACATTTCTGTGGCATTTCGGCGTGCTCTGTTGCACAAACGGGGGTGATTAGCTGTCAAGAAACTCACTTCAGTCATTAGCAGCACACATGAGCATATGCTGACACCAGTCTCAACTGTCAAGTAAATGGTTTAAATGTTGTCAGCCACATAGCGTATCATTATTATTTTACCATGAAAAGAGGAGACCTCCTTGGTTCTGTTCAGCTGGGAGACTTTAGAAACTTAGGGTCTTACTGAAGTGTGCAAACATGTTTAAAGACTTGTCTCTGAAAGTACATGAATGGGAAAAGTCAGACAGGTAAGACAGGGGCTGACTTTGATCCTGGATGTGCCTGTCATTATCAAGCCCATGGTGCCTGCTCCACTTTTCATTCCCTGTCTGCACCATCTATTTTCAGCCTTTTGATTTGTATAGATGTGTATACGGTGTGTAGATGATGTCGACAGAATACCAAGTAGATAATGAGCTTTCATTTCATTCGGGATGAGTAGAGGGACATGGGGCGCTCGGTGCGAAGGGGGATGAACACCTCTGTGTTAATTCTATTATCAGGAGTATCAGTCTGTCCTTCACCACTGAGGTTTCTCATAAGATATCCTGTATCATCAATTTCTAAAGTACTTTTTGTGCTTCTGATGCTTCCGAGCGCCCCTGAGTACAACTTGCAGCCTCAATTAGTTTCCTGCTGACCTTAACTGCCTCCACTTCCTGAGGAGCTTGGGCCGCTCGCTGCTACCTACAGCCTACTTCCAGTCATCACACAGCCATAATACCAGCCCTCATTCGTGTTTAGATGATTGTTTCAAAGTTTAAAGCTACTGTATTCATTTTATTAACAATGGATCAAATGATTAACCGTACTGGGAAGGTTCTTGCATGTAGTGACGACCCCACAAATTATCACAACTGTCAGCGTTTTGCTCCACTTTACAGAGCGTTTGATTTTATGGCCCACAAGTTAATTGTTTTGGTTCCGTCTTATGGTTTTTATTAGCATCGTCAACAGACACAGGAGGCAGCTGTATTCAGATTAGATAAACCTACTATAAGCCACTTGCTCAGCACCAGACAAACAAAGTCTAGCTGGTGAACATGGTGGAGTATTTAGGGGGCTGAAACAGAGCTACAAAAACAGAACACAACAGGGAATATTGGATTTGTGTTTCTGAATGAATGCTAATGTTGCTCTTTGTCTGCTAGATGAGTAAATAAGCAACGTGTTTGCCAGCATCTGTGTCGCCATTCACTTTCGTTTCTCTTCAAACGCGCAGGTTTGGGAAAAACTAAGAGGAAGACGAGTGCCCGCGATGCTTCCCCAACGCCCAGCTCAGACACGGAGTACCCCTCCAACGGCAGCGGGAGTGGAGGAGGTGGAGGTGGAGGAGGAGCGGCGGAGAGAATCTACGACCTCAACATCCCCGCTGTGGTTAAGTTTGCCTACACAGCAGAGAGGGATGATGAGCTGACCCTGTTCAAGGGCTCCCGAGTGACCGTGATGGAGAAGTGCAGCGACGGCTGGTGGCGGGGCAGCCAGGCGGGCCGCGTGGGCTGGTTTCCCTCCAACTACGTCCAGGAGGAGGTCGGAGGGGCAGACGACAGAGGGGAGGGAGATTCCTCGCGGGGCTACCAGGGAGGTTCTCAAGGAACTTTGTTGGCCAACGGGCGCGCAGGTGGCCGCGGCGTAGTTCTGCACCTGGTTCAAACGCTCTACCCCTTCAGCTCCGTGACAGAGGAGGAGCTGAACTTTGAGAAGGGAGAGGTCATGGAGGTGGTGGAGAAGCCGGAGAACGACCCGGAGTGGTGGAGGTGTAAGAACTCGCGCGGCATGGTGGGACTTGTACCTAAAAACTATGTGATGGTGCTGGACGAGCGGCCCGGCCCGCCCTCCTCGACGTCGAGCTCCCCACAGAACCGCTTCGTGGCACCGGCACGCTCAGGGAGGTTCGCCGGGAGGGACTGGTACTACGGCAACATCACCAGACACCAGGCCGAGTGTATTCTCAACGAGAAAGGAGAGGAGGGCGACTTCCTCATACGAGACAGCGAGTCATCGGTGAGTCAGTGGGGTGAAGTCACGACAGAGTAGCATTATGGAGACAGGGAGACATTGAGGGGGGGGAGAAAATGTAATGAACTCTAGTAAAAAAAAAAAATAAAAAAAAAAGCATTACAGTCCAAAAATAGTCGCTCCTGCATGGCACAGTCTGGACCCACATTATTCACACAAAGCTTTAATAACGTTTAGGAGCTGAATAAAGGATTAAAAGGGTTCTGGCTATGACTGAATATGACATGTTTCTCAATCAACTCACTCCTACTTTCCATAAAATTTAGAAGTGACCTTTAGGAGCAGCTGATAAGTAATCACATGCTCACTCATGGGGATGCTCAAAGCAGGAATAGCCAGACAGATACCAGGATGTGACCTGCATCTGCAACATTAATCATTCTTTGAAAATCCCTTCTAGGGGTTATGATTTTCTTGATTGATCCATTAGCCGTTTTACCTTTAGAGTCAAGGTGATGTATTTTGTTCTGTTTGACCAACCATACATACTCACATAAAACTAAGAAAAGCAGAAAATCGTCAAATAGGAAAAGGTAGAGCTGTACACAGATTGTTTCAGGTCCAAGTCTTACATTTCCTCTCTAAATTCATTTAAAAAAAATTGTAGTGAAATGAACTGAAATAAGAAGAAAGAGAAGAATCAGAGAAGGGAGGAAATTCTGCTGCTGGTAGGAGGTTTGTTGGGGAAATATATATTAATATTGCTTTAGATCATCCAGAAGGTGCTCACTTCTGTCTCTGTACTGCAGCCATCTGGGCTCAACTTTTCACCAAAGTAAGATGTGTGAAATTCAGTATTTTAGGTCCAAATACATTTGATAAACAAGCTTGTATTTCTAAAGAGCCACTCCAGGTATGCCTAACAAGCTAGCTAAACAAAAATACTCTAAAAAAAAATTTATTTTTTGTTGAAAAAGTTCATCATCACAGTTAGAAGTTCTTAACATCTTTACTGAAAAATCCATAAACTACAAATATGGACATTTTTTCAATTTTGACTATTTAACCGCTGAATATAAGACCTGCATCACTTGAAGTTTATTCAGAGTTTTTGTGCAATGCAGGTGCCAAGTTTTTTTTGTTTTTTTTTTACGTCACATTTGTCTAAGTCACCTATTAGACCAGGGTTGGCTTCCCTGGTAGTTAAATGCTGCTCACTGGTACACAACCTATACTCAGATTTTAGGTTACCTTGGAGGAACTTTCCGCTTTCAGCATATGGACTTGATAGTTTTTTCTTTTTACAGTAAAAGTCTGCATTCTAAAGGACCCAAACACATCTATGAGTGGAGGGGAATTTGAAGTTTTGGCACATAAGTAAAAATTAAGACTTTTGTTTATCCGTTTTGACACAAAAGACGTGTTGCAGTTTTGACAGATGTGGGCTCGACTCTTTAATTTTGAGATTATGCTGCCACCTGCTGGACGAACGCAGTCTGCCTTTAAACTGAATCACTTGGCCCTTTTCTTTCATGTTTCTAACAACCGTCTCCCTCTTTGTTTTCCAGCCCAGTGATTTCTCCGTGTCTCTGAAGGCGGTGGGTAAGAATAAGCACTTTAAAGTGCAGCTGTCAGATGGAGTATACTGTATCGGCCAGCGCAGGTTTAACTCCATGGATGAACTAGTGGAGCATTACAAGAAAGCCCCCATCTTCACCAGCGAACATGGAGAGAAGCTGTACCTGGTCAAAGCGCTGCTGTGATTCACACGTCCTCACACCTACACTGGATCTCATACACAAACACACACACTCTCGCTCTCTCATATACACTATACACACACACACACACACACACAATACTAACGCCACTCCCTAACTGTCTTAACTCAAGCCTTAGCTCTGGACCCTCTCGCTATGGCGTCTGTAACACATCCAGATCCTCAGTCGCACCTCGAAATTGTATCCGTCTCCCTCCAGCAGGTGAAACTTTCCCTCGCTCTTCAATCGAGCGCCGAACCCCCAAGACAGCCAGCACTGTGTCAGGAAATACCCGCAATCCCTCGTGTTACAACGCAGTGCAAAATCCGCCTCCCGTATCCTGGATGTGCTAACGTGCAGTGACCATATCTGCTGCTAACAGAACGCCTGAGGCCTTGTTGGGGGTTGAGCTCTCCTTCTGATGTCATACATAATGTCCATTTACTAGCACGCACATTGTAATTTACACCATTGCTCTTAATCCACACAGGAGAACAGACATTTAACAGTTCAAAGAGGACTCTTAACCTCTGTGGGACCTAACTCTGGTGTCGTCCTGTCAAATTGCTGGCCATTGTTTTATTTTTGTTCACTTGTTTTTTTGTTTTTTTTAATGCTTGTTAGGACTTTTGTTTTGTTCGTGTAAAGCTAATTTAAATTCCTCTCTGGGGGTTTGAATCGTTGCTTTTTTCACAAAGTGACCAGAATCACTCTCTTGCCTTTTCCTCCTGATTTTCACCATTCCTCTACATGATTTTTTACCTTCCTCCCCCTTTTTTTTTCTTTCTCAAATTCCTCCTCGTTTCTCGTCTCCACAAACCCCCGTCATTACAAGTGATGTTACCTGAAATCTCCATACAACACCTCCTGTAATATTTCTAACAAGGCAGTTGGGGGGGGAGGGCGAGGGAGCGTTAATGCAATAGGGGAGACCTCTGATGTCCTGTAGAGTTTGAATGTTTATCCGTGTAACCAAATGTGCCACCCTGTACCCATTACTACTGGCTCCAGGTCTGCACCGCACTCACTATACTTGGCATTCATTCATCGCTCTATGCTCATGCTTTATATTGTGTCACGTTGAACATGTTATTGTTCTGTTCTCCAGTATGTGTCTGTAGCTACATGAGGATACTGACTGAAGAATAATAAAAACCTTTTTTTGGTAACACTTTTGAGTAACTACACTTGATCTGCTCCTGAGAACGAATGCAGTTATAGGGGAAAAAAAAGTACCTCTTCTGATGTTGGATTTGTTAAAAAATTATTATCTTTGGGAATATCGTGATTTCAGATAATTTTGCAGGAATTATACACAAAAATTATTGATGACCGAGACCCCAGTAAAAAATAGGAAGTGATGGCCTGATAAATTTTTTTCACAGGTTAACAAATTACTTATGAAACCCCGTCTTAAAGGCCTAGAAACTAGGAATAAACCCTCTGTAGAGCCATTTTAGAATAGAAAGAAAATCTGAACATAAGGTGTCTTTTGTTTTGCCTCCCAAGCCTTTACAAAACCAAAACTTTGAGCAAAAGTAAGCGGAACAGTGTGTTCATCTGCCCTGATGTTATTGTTAGCATTTGTTAGCATGCCTGGCTAACTGGCTAGAAGTGAAATCAAGGAGAATTTGTTTTTGGAAATTACTTAATATTTCGAGTTTTACGCTGCAAAAACGAAACAGGCGTAAGAACGGTGACTAAATGGGCTTACGTAGCAGTCAGTTATAAATTCTTCACTATCAACAAACCAAATACATTGCCATCCGGTTCATAATTACAAGTCTAGTCCAACCAAACATTTTCCTGTTTATTTTTGCTATGTGCATTTGTTTACCAATGGAAGTGTTGATCATGGGGTCCTCAGCTTTTATATGATATATCTGAATGTTATTGAGCATTGTTATTTAATTCTTGTCTCCACTGTATGTATATATTCAAAATAAGAAGAGGTGCATATATGAATCATTAAGATCCAACTATGGTACTGTATCACCGACAACGTGATGAGAATTGAGATACTTTTGTTCAATAAAAATTTTTGAAGAATACTAAAACTACGTGTGATGGGTTTATTATCCAGCTGCTTCATTTGAAGAGATTACAGTGAATGCTCTTGATGTTGATTGTTTTGAAGGTGGTTTCACAGTGGGTTTTTAGTTCAGTCTAAATGATGTGTCAGTGTGAAACTGCAGATAAAGAGAGCACCTGCTGAGCCTTAGCCAGACCACGGAGCACGGGTTATTAGTGTGACCACCAGAAAAACCAAAAGAAGGGAGAAATAGCCTCTCAGAATCATGTAAATATTCTTTTAAAGGTATAATTCGGGGCATAACTGTATTTAATATACTTTAGGTAATTACAGAGTACTGTGATCTTACCCCCTTAAGCCCGTTAGGCACGGAATTACAAGAAACTTAGACTTTCATTAGAAGGAATTAAATTCTTGAAATGATTAGGTATGGAGGCTACATACACCGAACCTTTCCTTCAAGGCTCCTGTGCCATATGTAAATGCAAAGCTGCAAATCAAATCGCCCTATTTCGAGCATTTTTTGACAAACTTAAGACGATGCTTAAGCCAAATAAACAGTCATGCGTAACCTATTACTGCAGCTTCAGAGGGAAATCCAAACAGTGTGATGGGAGCGACAGAAAGAGACAGCAATTGCTTGGTGGCACAGAAAATCGGTGATGAATTGGCGTGATCTGCCCTTTTCCTTTATTAACTGAGAGATTAAAGTTTAACTTTAGTAGCTCAGAAATCCAAAGGGCAGGGGTCAGTATCAGTTTTATAGCTTTTAGTGCCAACAGCTATGATGTAAAGAGCAGCACATAGTGACCATACAGTCATTTTTAAACATTTTTATTTACTGCTTGTGCACTGGCAAATTCCTGAAAGCTCATGTCTGTGAAAATAATCATTTCCCTTACTTAGAATGGCTTTTCGCTGCAGCTCATGCACACCAGCTCACCTATACGCCACTCAAACGCTGTAAAACTACTCTACGGAATGGAAAAAGTTTTATATTGGAGTAATCTGGCCATTACATATTCAAACTGGTAGCCGATGTTGAATGAGATATCGACACAAAAAGCAGCATCCTGCAAGCTGACAGAGTGACTTCTTCAGTTTGACGTGTGTGAAACCACTGGTGTCTGAATCCGTGTTTTTAAGACTGACATTGGTAGGCTGCTGTTTTAAGCCATGCCCTTGACTGCTTATTTCACTCCTTATGTGTTTCCTAGCATTTAAAAACACTATACAAGGTGTTAACAAGGTTAAAGAAAACTTCTCCAACATTTAACAGCATTAAAAAAAAAAAAAAAAAGCCAATCGGGTGTTTTTTGTTTTTCTTTCCTAACAAACACTCATGAGAAGTAACAAGTCATGACACTTTTGTTAAGCAATGACATGCAGAATCCTGGTGACACAGCAGCCACCAGCTGTGAAAAGTGGATGGTTTTTTAACCTTTATGCAAGTTGGAGTAAAATTAGCATAGTGGCAATTCACTGTTTTCTCTAAAAACAAAAAATAAAACATGAAAACTCAATTGTGCGTATTGTGTGTAAGTTGTAGCTAACAAGTGGAGAAGGTTATAAATTACTGAATAACCACAAGATCCATCCATTATCTATACACCGCTTAATCCTCATTAGGGTCGTGGGGGGCTGGAGTCTATCCCAACTGACTCAGGGTGAAGGCAGGGGACACCCTGGACAGGTCACCAGTCTATCACAGGGCTACACTTAGAGACTGACAACCAAGCACACTCACATTCACACCTACGGACAATTTAGAATCACCAATTAACCTCAACATGTTTTTGGAGAACCCGGAGAGAACCCACACTACACAGGGAGAACATGCAGACTCCACGCAGAAGGATCCTGGGTGTCACCGGCCCCAGGTCATTTCAGTTTGGTGCTATTTTCATGGGAGTAAGGGAAGAGTGAGCACCTACTGGAAAATAGCACAATGCGGAGTCCATTTTTTACTTTGTGTCTTCTCTGAAAACGATGTCCAACAGCTCTCCCTTGGTTGCCACTTAGTTTTTCTTGGAACATCATCTTTTATCGACAGGCGAGGCCTTGACCTTATTGGCTCAACAGTGACCAATCAAAAGGGGATTGTTTGCTTGTACTTCATCACAGCTGTTGCCAAGGTAACACCAGACACAGGTCTTCGTTGCCCAGGTTAAACATTCTGAAAAATAATGTTAATTTTTTTACTTGCCATGGTGATATCCTGGTCTTTGTACTGTTTAAAGCTTTTAGTGTTCAGTATCAAGCTGTCACCAGCAAAATGTAAAATGGCATCTATAGTTCAGTTGTGTAGAGCTGTGATGAAGCACTTCATATCAAGTGGTTTAGCAGTTAAGTATTTCATTTGAAAAGGACATAGAATGAATTCCTAGAGTAAAGCCTGCAAAAAAAAAATGTTTTATACAGTATACTTAACATGACATGATCGAGCTAAAGCTTTAAAACACTGCTTACACATTCAAGTATTTCAACAGGTGCCATTCTTTGGGATTGGTATTCAGCTATCAGGAGCCTAAATTTTGTTGTGAATAATTCAGTGAGTTTCCCGTGCTTTTACATTTTTATTGAAGAGGATGATCTGAGAGTTTGTTGTACCACTCTACAAGCTGAGTCACCCATCAAAAGTCCCCTCAGGGCAATCGAGTCCTGTCTGGCAAACAGTCCTCCCTTATGTACTGTATCTGTCAGCTGGTGTAACCAGAGTCTGGCTGATGATTGAGGTCACTTGAGAGGAGTGTTCTCCGTCTGCGTCAGTCACAATTAAACCACCATCTGCCTCAGCTTTGATGGCATCGAGCTGCCGGCTGGGATTTCATACGTGAGAGCGGTGACTGGAACACCTCAGTGTACCTTCATACTTTACTGGGGCTTGTTTTACATTTGCGTCACACTGTTACCTCACCTTTTGGATGGAGACGTTCAAGGACTCTGTATGTGGGGCCAAGTGCCATCTACAAAGGAGTGTCCATCTGGAGCAATAATACAGGATAGCAGGCGATTAGACACGTCTCTGACCGGAGAGGAGAAAATATTTTACAGTTTGCAAAGCACTCACTTAAATGAGGGCTGCAGTACTTGTATATTTCCACGTGATGGCAGTATTGAGCTTCCTCTGTTGGCACCTCACAGCTGTTCACATTTTTCCCATATTTGAATCTGGAAGAGATACTGACAAAAAATTAATAACTAAATAAGTCAGAATTCAGTTTTCTAAAGCAACAAGGGGAATGTTAGATTACAACTATGTATTTTTACTTGTTAAGTCTAATTGGGGGGGAAAAAAGAAGAAAAGTCTGGCAAATCACTGTTAGATCTTTGAATCAAATTGGAAGTTTTGATTTATGCCAATATATTGGAAATTGTGAGTCAATCAACTTTTTAAAAATTCACTTTCAGTGAAAGTAAAGAGCTACCCAAGTCAAAGAACTAACAGCATATGAGATGGGATCTAAAATGAGTTTCTTTTGCTTATCTAAAAAGAGAAATGAGCTAAAAGCAAACCAAAAACCAGTTCGCTGACTGACTATTCTTGCTGAACAAGGAATTTAAATCAACTTGTAAATCTTCGAAAATCATAAATCACAACATAGTCACAGTCACTTTCTGACAAATCAATTCCGGTCCCAATTTATAGCGTCGATTGCAGCCGCAGTAAAGACCCCCTCCAGTAAAAAAGATGTTTATTCGCCTTGTAAACATGTCCATATGGTGTTTTTTTTTAATGCTAGAATCATTAGCCAAATAAACATTTAGCGTCACAGCTGTGCGTTTCCACCTTCCAATGTCTCAGAAACACACATTCAGACAACTAATCATGTCTTCTGGCAGGGTCGGGCTTTCTGTTTGTTATTCTTCAGAATTAGTTTCTGGTTCCAACATATATGACTGAATTCCTTCAATATTTCAACTTGCCATTGTGTAGAGGTGTTGTACTGTGTTTGAGCAGAGTCGCAGGTGAGCTGGTGTGCTTGAGCTGCGCACTCCAAAGGAAGCAACAGTGTAGAGTTAAATCTACGCCACTTTAAGGCATGAAAGGTTTATTTTTAAGAGTAAATATCTAACATATATACATCAGATATGAGTTTATCTCAGCTTGTCGTGCTCCATCAAGACATTTGCAAATTGCACCCGGTCCTTCCCACAGCAAACACCAGGAAAAACAAATGAAAAAATATGAACCATAACAACAACAACAAAAAACTAAACACAAGGCACCCACTTTAACTTGAACTAAAGCAATCCAGCTTACCTAACCTAAACCATGCAGCTGTCCCCTGGAAGCCATGGAGGAGATCCTCAGAGCTTCATAACTTCACTGCCAGTTTCAGAATCCTTCAAGCTCAAAGGGAAACAAGGATGAGAGAATAACTTTGCAGCCAACCCGCCATATTAAATACATTTTAAAAAAAATAATACTGCACAATTTAGCATACTTACGAAATGCCAACAAGGTGAAGCCTTTATTTTTCCTTATAACAACAAAATTAGAAGCCATGTAAAGGTATGACGGAGCAGCAAAAGTGGGTGATGTTTGGGTGTGGATGAGTGAAAGTCTGGTGTTGTGTGGTGCAGTGAAACAAAGGAGATTGTTAGAGGAGAATGCTGGGAAACTGTCCAGACAAAAACGGTTTTCAAAGCACAAATTTTAGAGGTTGGAGAAAAGGATCCGTCCAACACCACCTACTAAGAGTGAGCAAAAGAAAAGCGAACAGAGGAGGGCTTTCTCTGCAGCATTAACGTGGGACACGACTACACCAGCTGTGGTTTTAAAATCAAAACAAATCAATCTGTTTGTGGCAAATATGAACAAACTGGCTTTCAGGGAATCAGACAAATGAGACATGGTGGGAAAAGCCGAAACAAAGCTTACTAGAGAATATAATGAAAAGAATGTTTTTGCACCACTTTTAAAGAAAAAAAAAAAAAATGCAATTCTTACATCTGTATGATAAATATGTAGCATGGTCAGATCTTTATCTAAGTTTAAGATTTTGACCAAACACAAACTAC